CCCCACTGGCCTCTTTGGTTTCCAGCAGGAAACGCACGCGCCGCTCTCGCTCTCGTTCTACCGCCCTACGCACCCGCCTCCAGCGCCCTGCACCCTCTGCTGCACGCAGTTGCTCCTCCTCGGGGCCGCTAGGACAGAGAGAAGGAAGTGCCCCCATGCAGCCCACCTGGCCACCTGCCTGGCCTGTGACACACCCCACCCTGCCTCTCCCAGCCTCGTGCTCACCTGATCTCCTGCTCCACCCTCTCCTGTTGCCCCACCGGTGTCCCGGTGTTGAGGGCTCGGTGGATCTTCTAGAGACACAGACAAGTGTGTCAGTGGGCGCCTGGGATGCTCCACCCACCCCACTCTGTCCCTGTCGACTCACCTGGCTCGTGTGAAGCCAGTACTGCAGCTTGTTGCCCCTGCGGATGCGTGGCAACACCAGGCGGTAGAAGACATGCTCACCCAGGGAGCTGAGGAGTGCGCTGCCCAGCCCGAGGCACAGCAGTACGAAGAGCCCCGAGAAGTGGTAGACCCCCATCTGCAGCGTCTGTGGACGGCAGCAAGGTCCCCACAGGGCGTCAGGATGTGGACCTCTGGGCAGGGCAGCTAGGCAGGGAAATCTCGTGAAGGAAGGGGTGCTGGGGCTGTGTAGGGCAAGCAGGAATGCTCACGGTAGCTCCCCACCCTGTTCCCCGAGCGCCTGCCCACCTCCGTCACGGCGAACACCCGCTTCCCGCAAGGTACCATCTTGTACCACTTGTCGTGGAGCAGGTCAATGAAGCCTGAGGACTTATAGCGACTGATGAACTCCGACAGGTTGGAGGTGAGCGGAGAGTTCTGGGGCAGCCCTATGCCGTAGCCTGGAGAGGTTGAACCGGTGGGAAGTGGCTCCACTAGAGCTGCATGCACCCACAGCCGGGGTCTGGGATCCCCGGAACAACGCCACTACGCACTCACCCTCAATGGCGAAGGGTTTGCCCACAGTGAGCAGCTTGCAGTCCGCATCAATGGATACCTCGTAATCCAGTAGTGACTTGTCCATGATGAAGGCGTTGAGCTTGGGTGGGTCACTCCTGTGGGGCAGGATGGCTCAAGGTCAGCAGGCTCTGAGGGGCAGGCAGACCTCTGACACCGCACAGTACCCCACAGACTCACGTGAGCATAGCCACTCCGTGTGGAGTGGTGGGTGCGCTGTGGCGCCGCATGTGTGCATGCATCTCAGGAAAGCTCGCCTTGATGTAGGCCTCCGCGCTGCTCTCCCACACAGTGCCGAAGCGGAATCCTTGGGAAGGGTGGTGCAGCTGCGGAGGAGGAGTGCTCAGCCAGCAGCCTGCGCCCCCCAACAGGGCTTGCTTGATCGTGCAGAGACCTCGCACTAAGCTCAGATTCAGTACCATCAACTCTACAAATGCTCTATTGGGAACCCCAGAGACACGCCAATTCTGCTCTCATTCCCCACCCGCAGTCCTCACCTGGCCACGGGGCCATCTACCACTTTGGTGCCTAGAGCATCGGGCAGACCTAGTTGCAGGGGAGCACAAGGCTGGAGCAGGATATCCGCAGAACTTGACCAGCTACATCCCAAAGAGGGGAGGAGCTGTGAGAAATACCATGAACTCCAAAAATATGAAAGGTGAAATAAACCCACATGGGCTTCAGCGTGCCTGTCATCCCTGCAGTGGGGGTAGTTTTTGTTTTTTAAAGAACTGGTGCTTAAGAACAGAGGTGTCTGGAGCCTGGTATTGGTGGGACACACCTTTAATCCCAGCACTAGGGAGGCAGAGGCAGAGGCAGGAGGACCTCTATGAGTTCAAGACCAGCCTGGTCTACAGGGGGAGTTCCAGGACAGCCTCCAAAGCTACACAGAGAAACCCTGTCTGGAAAAAAAAAATGGAGGTGTCAACCAGGGGTGGAGCCCCACCTAGAATTCCCCAGTGAGGGGCTGGGGTGTGGTCAGGGGTGGAGCATGGGACAAGGGCTTGGAATCCATTTCAGGCACTGCAATTAAGCGAGTTACTAGAGAAGGGAGTGTGTTAGTAGTCACCCATTCCTGCCAATCCCAGTGCTTACCCCACCCTGACTATAACCCTTAGCCCCTCAGCTTTCCCCCACCTTGGGGTCATGGATTCCAGACAGCTCCTCAAAGGTCTTGTCCCCAACCATGACCGCAGCCAGGTTGGCCGTGTAGCTGGACAGCACCAGGAGGCAGAAGATTGCCCAGAGGTTCATGAGGAAGCGTCCGGTAGGACACTTGGGTGTCTTGCTGGACACAGTGCGTCCAAAGAGGATGGCATAGCAGAGGTTGAGTGCAGAGGAGTAGGAGAAGACAGTACCACGGTTGCGGCCACGAGGTGTGAGTCCGTAGGGGCTTCGCCATTCATACAGGGTAAGGAAGAGCGCTGTGAGATGCAGGGCAGCAAAAACACCCACCCACATGGACCAGTGCAAGGGCCACATGAAGGCCCCGATAGGCGAGGCTGTGTCTCGTGTGCGCACCATGATGCCCAGGCTGGTGGAGAAGAAAGGGCTGGTGAAATCCACCACCTGGGACCGAGCTGAGTTAATACTGAAGCTGGTCACAGCCATATGTGCCCGGCCGGCCAACAGGTCACCCACCAGGCCTGTCCAGCGCCCATCACGCAGGGCCCCATATTTGCCATCCCCCACAATATAGAGCTCAAAATCAAAGGCCAGGTCCTCCGCCAGCCGCTCCAGAAGGTCAATACAGTAGCCATAACAACATCTTCTCAGTGAGCGGGGTACTGAACCATTGGCTAATGCTGCAAACAGCGCATCCAACCTGGCTGAGTCATTGGTGCCTGAATCTAGACACAGTTGCCCAGCTGGGCACTGCCCATCTTCATCGGATTCCCTGGTGAACACAAATGGGTGTTCCACCAGAGTTACCACTCGTAGCTTGGGCCGTGCCTCGGTGCCAGATGGAGATGGGACACGGATAGCAGCTGCGCCCGGCTCAAAGTCCAGCTGTCCATCCTGCCAGCTGCCCACTGTTGCCCACGCTGGGGCACCCAGCGGATCTCGGCGCAGGCTCCACACCTTGAAGTGCCGAGACACGTGCACCTGAGAGGAGCCTGTCACCCACACAGTCCCTGTTCGGCCCTGGAAGGAGGTGTTGCTCAGAAATCTGGGGAATATAAAGGGTAGGGATTGTCAGAACTCTGAGAGACCTGCTCCTTGCTCAGCTAGCATCCCCTGGAATCCATGGGAGCTCTAGTCCTGAGGATGGAGGTACAGCCACCCAACTGTCTAGGTTCTGTTCCTACTGGGGCACCCACCTCCTGACACACAGGGGACAATGCCAGAGTGCCTCCTTCCCCTAAGCTGGACCCTACTCACCGAACCAAGGTTTGACCAGATGACTCAGATCCACCTGGTTTCAGGTCCTCACAGCCGGCCACAGCTGGAAGCAGGACATGCTCTGGGTGCACAAGGGCCATGCTGCTGAGTGCCCGTGCCACAAGCTCTACCGTGTCATGGATGGCAGCTTCCAGTGAGGGTCGTTTGATTTCCCCCAGCGCCAGCACCCCAGGTGGAAGGCCAGCTGTGGGCAGTGCCTCAGCAGGCAGCGGTGTGCCCAGTAACCATTGGGGACCCGGTGGCGCAGCCTCCAGAACCTCATGTGCACGGGCAGCACTGCAACCGAGGAGAACAGCTGCCGGCACTAGGCTCTCCCCTCCCTCCAGCGACCCCAGCAGGGCCAGTCCAACCCGAAGGCTCTCATTCCCACTGTCCAGCCGGCTCAGGTCCAGCACGAACTTTGGGGCCTGGCCAGCACGGCTAGTCCAGAGTGTCACAAGGCCACCAGGGTCCCGGACACGGCATAGTACTAGAGCAATGTCCTCCCAGGCATGTGCCTGTAACAGGGACACCAGCACATCCAGTATGGTTTCCAGAGGACTGGCCCAGTCCAGCTGCAGGTGGAACGGGGTCTGGGAAGAGGTGGTTCCAGTCAGGACTGGCTGGTGATCTTTGTATTCACGACACCATCTCCACCCCACCCTGTCAAGGTGTCCTCTTGAGAGCTGGGCATCAATCATCCTGGCCCCTTCAGCTTACCCATGCTCTAAACCCAGCCGTGGCTCCCCAGTACCTGCTCCCCCCGCCCCAGGCTGGTCTTGAACTTGCTAAGTGTAATTAAGGACAACCTTGAACTCATGATCCTCCTGCCTCTATGTCCAGAACCCTGGGATGACAAGCATGCATTGCTACTTCCAGGTTGTGCCATGCTGAGATGGAATCCAGGACTTTATGCATACTGGACAAAAATTTTACCAAATGAACCCCAGCCCCAGCTTTCCCTTGTTTTTTTGGTTTTTTTTTTTGTTTTTTTTTTTTTTTGCATGTAGCATTCCACCAGCTATGATACCTTTCTCTATATATACCAATCAACTCCTATACATCCTTCAAAGCCCAGCTCTGTTGTCTCTTCTCTACATAGACCTTGACATTATCCAAGGAGAACTTTGCATTTCTCTTGAGCTCTCCCAAACTTCAGTTCTCTCTCCTCTCCTCCCCCTCTCTCTTTCTCTCTCTCTCTCTCTCTCTCCCTCCCTCCCCCCCTCCCTCCCCACTTCAGTCCTGACCTAGTTCTACCCCACCTGCTCAGGTTGGTATTCAGCACACTCAGAAAGTTCTTGGGGGGTTGTGTTTCACATTTGGAATACACAGCAGCCCTGGAAGACACCCAAATACCACTGGGTGCTGCCTGGCAGGGACACTGTGCTTAGGAACACATAAGGATACCACAGCTCTGTGGAGGGAGGCCAGCAAGGCCAACCCCAGAGGATGCAGGACTGGCTCAGAGGCTGGAAGCACAGATGAGTGCAGTTCCCAGAGCAGGGGCGGTCATTAGCTTGGGTTTCCAATCTCCCACCAGACCAAGGAGCCTTAGGGGATACAGGGAGTCCAGGAACATGGGTCACCGGCCTTCCTCTTGGGCTAGGGTCTCGGTGGATGCAATCTCATGACAGGTTATTGAGGAAGACCTCAGATCTCCTATGTCCCAGGGTCCCCGGATGAAGCAACAAGAGACCTCGTATGAAGAAACAACCTAGCTGGGTGTAATGCTGCATTCCTTTAATCCCAGGACTCAGGGAGTAGAGGCAGGTGAATTTCTGTGAATTCAGGACTAGCCTGGTCTACACAGTGAGAGACTATCTCAAAACATTAAATATTAAAAAAAAAGACATATCAAGGATGGGATATGCGGAGATGGGGATGACCAGTGCTGACCTGGGGCTGGAGGCCACCAGAGAGCTGTGGGTTAGGGAATTGCCTAGCCTGTAGGGACCTGTGGGAGGGAAAGATGGGCTTCCGGGAGGATTTCCCACACTGCTCAAGCCCAGGGAAAGCACATTGGCGCACCTTCCTAGCCAAGACGTGCTTAGGAGGGAAGGACTGGGACAGGGGTCCTCTCCATCCCCTGGTTGAAGAAGTGTGGGGCTCCCGGTTGCTTCCCGTCCCCGCACCCCAGTGTCCCCCACGCTCCCCCGCGTACCGGGACTCCGAGGGGCGCGCGCGCCTCCCTCCGCAGGACGCTCAGC